CGCTGTAGTATATGTCTCTCATAAATCGGTTGTTTTATAGGTTAAATAATGAATATGCATACGCTGTAGAATATGTCTATCATAAATCGTCTGTTTTACAGGTTACATAATGAGTATGCATACGCTGTAGTATATGTCTCTCATAAATCGGTTGTTTTACAGGTTACATAATGAATATGCATACGCTGTAGTATACGTCGCTCATAAATCGTCTGTTTTATAGGTTAAATAATGAATATGCATACACTGTAGAATATTTCTCTCATAAATCGTCTGTTTTACAGGTTACATAATGAGTATGCATACGCTGTAGTATATGTCTCTCATAAATCGGTTGTTTTACAGGTTAAATAATGAGGATACATACGCTGTAGTATATGTCTCTCATAAATCGGTTGTTTTCTAGGTTACATAATGAGTATGCATACGCTGTAGAATATGTCTCTCATAAATCGGCTGTTTTACAGGTTACATAATGAGTAGGCATACGCTGTAGTATATGTCTCTCATAAATCGGCTGCTTTACAGGTTACATAATGAATATGCATACGCTGTAGGATATGTCTCTCATAAATCGGCTGTTTTACAGGTTACGTAATGAGTATGCATACGCTGTAGAATATGTCTCTCATAAATCGGTTGTTTTATAGGTTCAATAATGAGTATGCATACGCTGTAGTATATGTCTCGCATAAATCGGTTGTTTTACAGGTTACATAATGAGTATGCATACGCTGTAGAATATGTCTATCATAAATCGGCTGTTTTATAGGTTCAATAATGAGTATGCATACGCTGTAGTATATGTCTTTCATAAATCGGTTGTTTTTTAGGTTACATAATGAGTATACATACGCTGTAGTATATGTCTCTCATAAATCGGTTGTTTTATAGGTTCAATAATGAGTATGCATACGCTGTAGTATATGTCCATGTAAAACAAGGGAGAGAGAAATAAACTACTTTCTATCTTGTATGAGTTTGTAATCAATGTATTATGTACATCAATTTTCGTCAGTGCATCTACATCAGTGCATCTTTGTGTTTTTCTCCAGATATTAAACAGCACTTTCGAGTAATGTTTTCGTCAATGTGTGGGGTGGTAGTTGAAGCATTATTTTGTCACGCTAAAATTCGGTTTGATGTCCCATATGAGAATAATGTGAACTCTGTAATCTGGTGCTTCTTAATGTATATTATGCCCAGAATGATCAGTTCAGTGTGGCAAATGTGGCATTTGGGCAACGCAATGTACATGAATAATGTGTACAACTCTCAAGCGATAATAACCACATGATAATAAAAGTTAAATGTACGTGTAAATATTGTTAGTTTATGATAACAAATAACCAGGTTTAACTATTCTGACGTTTGGTATTTAACAAGATATAGATAGTTATTACACTCAAGTAAAAAATCAAAGCTTTCGCGATGTCCTGACTTATATTTCGAGTAGGGATGAGCCTTGGAACTTGTTTTGTGATTCAGATACCATCACCTCCCTTATGTCAGCATTTGATTTCAATCCATGTTCATTTTGCTCGAGAGGTTGTACACTATCATTTGTAACCGAGTCACAGACACAGGTCACAACAAACTCCAACAAGTACACTGCGGTTTGAGTTTTCTAATGTAGAACTTTACATTGAGGGTATATACCATGTATATCGGCAATATTTGGGTGCGGGGATGCTTGAAAACTAGGGATATGATATTCCGCCGATTGATGAAAAATTAAATGAATATTGGAACATTCAATAAGTTTTGCAACTTGGGCATTTGTGTTTACACAAACAATGTCAACTTGTGGCATGTGTGACACTAGTCATAACATCAGGTTGACACGTGTCATAACAAGTTCCAGACAACAATATGTTAGATGTGATGGCTTCATTCACCTAAGGGTGGTTACAATCATGGATTCTCTCAAACATGAACAACGCGTGGTAATAAAGTTCTTTATCAAGGAGGGATGCAAAGCAAAAGAAATCCATGATCGCATGTGGTTGCCATATGTGGATGTGGATTCAAACAGTTAAATCATCCCCCCTACAGCCCAGGCTTAGCCCATAGTGACTATTTCCTATTCCAGCAGGGGGCACGGGTAGCCCAGTCGTCTAAGGCGCCGCGATTCGCTGTGCGGATCCCTTGGACACGCCAGAAACCTACGATTGTGGGTTCGAATCCCGGTTCGCCCCGATTATGTTTCTAGGTTTGTCAGCACCATTCCCGTGCTCGTGGGTTTCACCAAAGTGGTAAACGTCTGAGACCTGCATAACTTTGGGCTTTTCTCCCACATTAAGCTGACACGCCGTGATATAACTGGAATACTGTTAAAAGCGGCGTTAAACCCAACTCACTCACTCACTCACACACACCTATTCCAGCAAATGAAATCTGCCCTACGTGGAAGACGCTTCCAGGATGACGAGACATAAAGGCTGCCACAGAGGCATGGTTAGAGGTCCAATCTGAGAATTTCTTTAAAAGTGGTATTAAAAGCTTGAAGGACAAATGGAATAAGTGCATTGAGGTGAATGGACATTATATTGAAAAATAAAGGTGCAAAAGATATTCTGCAATTTGGTCTCACATTGAAGTTGCAAAACTTATTGAACGCCCCTCCTAAATGCAACCACTTTCGATTTGATTTGAATTGAATTGGGAACAATTCAGGAAAACAACAACATTTTTATGATAATTCCCATATTCTCACTAGTACGTGGTATATAATGTAAATGAGATCCTTAAGAATAAATATTGTATATGGTTATTTAATTGTTTAAAGATTTTTTATTTTTTTCACGAATACACTTTCATGATGTTAGTAATCACAATTCAATGTAACTGTCTTTCTGTATATGCGGATTGATTGATACCGTCAGTAAAATCTTTTCTCGTTATAATTAGGTCAGTTTACTCTTGTATACACAATGTCACTCGCGCAAGAGTGAATGAGAATGGTTTTACGCCGCTTTTAGCAATATTCCAGCAATATCACGGCGGGGGAAACGGGCTTCACACATTTTACACATGTGGGGAATCGAACCCGGATCTTCGGCGTGACGAGCGAACACTTTAACGACTAGGCTACCCCACCGCCCCTACACTCGCCTAAGAGGAAGTTGTATCGAATTACAGAGTCGGCTTTATATACAGGTGCGTCTACAATGGCTGCTCTCTGCCATTACAATCTGTCACACCACGCTTGAATGCACAATTATGCCGGTGTTGTTGTGAGCAAATACCTTGCCTCTAAATATATATTTGTAGATACATTATTACATATTTTCGTAGATTGTATATATAATAGGCACAAAGACGTAAAAGGTTTATGAAAGATGCATTGGTGCTTTGATATACGACGAGAACGAATCTTGTTTTTTCTCTGCGTTCCTTATCTGTATCAACGTATAATGATTCATCTTACTGCATGTATGTTTGGAGGCAATATCGAAGGCCCGCCCAGCCCAGCAGACACAGACACTTTCCCTAATTTATCTGCTGATTAGAATTTGTCAATGTCATGTAATAGCACTATTGCTAAAATCCGGTATGAATAGATGATTCGTTTTGTCATACATGTTAGAATTTTTACCCTATCGAATGATTGGTACCATATTATTCAATCAGCGAGTTATGTTTTTATTTTATTATATACATATATTGTTAATCATATCTCAGAACGCAGAACTGATAACATCCACACATGTAATTATTACACAGAGAAATTGTCACATATCATTTCCTGTACACTCCTGCTTGAACATAGAGCCAACATAAAAAAAATAATGTATATGCTGTTATCGGTGCAACTGTATGTCCACATGTATCCCAGCTGGCTAACGTCTCCAATAAAGTCAGCTCTATTTTTCAAGCATTATTTAATTTTCGAACACATTTTGAATGAAAAAAAATTAAAGGGGACTTTGTTTTATAATCATATTTAACAAACCTACGTGTATTTCACAAACATTCTGCGTAGTCCCCACCAAGTAACACATAGGTTTTACAAACATTTTGGGCATATTTTGCGAAATAAAGTTAAAGATCTTTGCGTTGTAGTGGACTGACACTTTGTCCTCAAATTACTTCTACATACACAAGGGAGCAATGGGAAAAGGTAGGTTTTCACTTATGGTTGCCTTGGAAACCCAATAACTTGCTTTTAATTGAGATCACGGCGTCACCTTTCGTACCATATATAAACTTTTTAAGATGTCCAGACAGACAGACAGAAAGACAGACAGACAGGCACCATATTTAACACAGAGTTATATGACAAACGACATGCAAACGTGAACAGGTTAGAAACAGGATCTGATAAGAATTTTACGCACGCCAGTGAACATATTGGTCACCCCATAGAAAGATAATGCACCTCCTTTGTGAAGAGCCTACACAAATCAGGTGTTCACAGTGAGACGTAGCTGTTTGAGTGTTATCTTGCCACAATAACGCAGCGTGAGCTCACGAGACCAAGCAGAGAGCTGAATGGCCCAAGCCTCATGGCTTGCATAATACAAAAGATAGCATGTACAGGACAATCGCTTACCGCCTGATCGTGCCGAATGATAGTGCGTGAAAACGGTAAATGATATACAGCAATAGGGAGCACACGAGATATTGATTTCATTTGTGAAGAAAATAATTATTATCTAAGGAATTATCGTACACATGAAACCTCGACATTTTAAACTGTTAACGACTCTTGGTGTATTTGATATCCAGCGACATTCTCTATATATCTTGTTTGTCATAATACAATTTAGATTTTCAACATACGAACACCATACACAACCAATAAGCGTCCAATTTGAATACATTTTTCCCTCTTTCCTCACAGAATACAGTTTCGTCTGACGGTGTTATATAATTCCCCTTGAGTCCCGTGAGTAATGGTTATATCCAGTGTCCAATTCAAGAATTTAATCCTGTCAAATCACGTGACAGTTGGGATATCACGTGAGACAAGCTCCTTGTCTGTTTACTGTTGTCAGAGAGTCTTCACTGGTCTGCTCGAGCAAGTTATGGTTCTGAGGTGTCTCCATGAAGGGAAGACAGAATACCTCTGTGGTAGATTTTAAGGATTTCATTTCTTCTTTCTTCAAGGTAAGCAGATATGAGTTCAACCCTATTTATAACCTTTTGCAAGTGGTGCTGTGTATTCAAAATATGGTTACAACAAAGGTGACATGTAAATACAATGATAATCTATATCAGAATACATCCGAAGGATCGGGGGGACATCACATTTCACCGCAAAAGCCAGGGCCCCGTCCCTCAAAGCGATCTTAGCGCTACGATGATCGTAAGCCTTTGTTACAATATGGGTCTTCCGATCACTTTTGTGCTAAGATCGCTTTGAGGAACGGAGCTCAGGTCTAAATTCAAGTCATGATTTCATGGTTCGTCTTGTATGTGGGAAACCAATATCGCAATATGGCTGAATGTGGCAAAACGTGGTATTAATGTACATTGTAGAAATCGCTGCAATACGATTGCATCACAATGCTTTGCAGACCATTGAGACGCCATTTGTTGCCATGACGTCACAATCAAATGACATCAGTAATGGCTCTGCTACTGAAGCTGTAAGCAGTACCTTTTATACTTAAGACACTGCTTATTACTATCTTCAATCTGAAAAAGTTGAAAGAATGATATTGGACGATAAATAAAATCTCATCCTAGGAGGTTTTTTTCCACTTTTTTTACTGAGGTAAGGGGAGGATGTATGTAATTATCAGAACTTTAGATCTCGGCAAGCGTCGTGCTCAGTGTGTTGTTTGGTCGGGTTTCAAAGATTCGGGGCCGGGGTGGGGATTTTGTGAATTGAATCCGACCGCGGCAATGTTGACCAAATCCAATTTATGAACAGGAGGATTGAATTGGGTATTTCCCGAATATTCCCACAATTTTCATGTCGATTATCTGTACATTTTCTCCCAATACCGATTGTCATATCGCCCTCACTTCCGGATGTGATTGTTCGGGCATTGCGTTTATCTACGTTGCCCAGCTACATCTATTGGGAACAACTCTCCAGACCCTTCACTCTAGAAAATGAGGCTGTCAAATTTAGGCCATCAAGTTGCGAGCCCATGTTTGAATCTCAAGAAATGGCGTCATGATAGAACAATGTCATGAAATAAATCTCGCTTCGTTCTTTTTTGCACTGTGCGATTGATCGCCTAGCTATGTTATTTCATCAAATATATGTCAATTTATCATTTCTTGTCATGTCGTGAGTACCCATCTCCAACCAACAAACACACAAATATCGTCTTCGACGTACGATAGAGTAATGATATATGATTATACTTTGGTGTGCACTATTTCTGGTTGATAAATCTGGTTTATCTACCCCAGGCAGACGTTGGTGCTCTACCGAATACTTATGGCATTGACAACACAACTCCACCACGTTTATTTTGATAGTATGCTGCTACTTCATGACCATGCAGTTGGACTCTTAGTGGCGCAACCAACCAGCCAAGCCGCTGTCCGAGGGTCAAGTATCGACTCACAGAATGCGTACTATTTTTAATCTTCACTGCCTGACTGCCATACCTCATCCAAACTGTTAAGCTTCAGTGGCCAACCATTCTTAAGCCGTAATTGCAAGCCACTGACATGCTGCTGGCCATGGTAATGATACTACATCTACTGTTTTAATTTGTATCGGCAGCGTTGTGAATATTTAAATAGATATAATTAATTTACTTAACTTAGGGCAATATGTAAAACGTATGTGTTAAAACATATAGATTCCTTGTTAAAACCTATACTCCGCCAAACTGTCTATGATATATGCCATTTCTGTCATCGTAATTGTAACTATTCATTTCCGCTAGCAAAGAGCCTGTAATGGGAAAGAACAATTACTAAGGAACACTAAATAAATAATAATGAAAGATGATACGTCTTAACACCTGTTCATAGATAGTAGACATGTGAACATTTCGTCATGATATTTGAACACTCCCAAAATCACGCACTATTCCACAGTCATAATCCTTATCAATGTTAGGTAAAACTTCATACAACATTTCAGTTAACAGGGAACAGTCAGTTGTCAGTACACAGGGAACAGTCAGTTGTCAATACACAAAAACAGTCAGTTGTCATAACACAGGGAACAGTCGGTTGTCAGGACACAGGGAACAGTCAGTTGTCAGTATACAGGGAACAGTCAGTTGTCAGTATACAGGAAACAGTCGGTTGTCAGTACACAGGGAACAGTCGGTTGTCAGTACACAGGGATCAGTCAGTCGTCATAACACAGGGAACAGTCGGTTGTCAGGACACAGGGAACAGTCAGTTGTCAGTATACAGGGAACAGTCAGTTGTCAATACACAAAAACAGTCAGTTGTCATAACACAGGGAACAGTCAGTTATCAGTTCACAGGGAACAGTCAGTTGTCAGTATACAGGAAACAGTCAGTTGTCAGTACACAGGGAACAGTCAGTTGTCAGTACACAGGGAACAGTCGGTTGTCAGTACACAGGGAACAGTCAGTTGTCAATACACAGGGAACAGTCGGTTGTCAGTACACAGGGAACAGTCAGTTGTCAATACACAGGGAACAGTCAGTTGTCAGTACACAGGGAACAGTCAGTTGTCAATACACAGGGAACAGTCAGTTGTCAGTACACAGGGAACAGTCAGTTGTCAGTACACAGGGAACAGTCAGTTGTCAATACACAGGGAACAGTCAGTTGTCAGTACACAGGGAACAGTCAGTTGTCAGTACACAGGGAACAGTCAGTTGTCAATACACAGGGAACAGTCAGTTGTCAGTACACAGGGAACAGTCAGTTGTCAATACACAGGGAACAGACAGTTTTCAGTACACAGGGAACAGTCAGTTGTCAGGACACAGGGAACAGTCAGTTGTCAGGACACATGGAACAGTCAGTTGTCAGGACACAGATAATCACCACATTGAAGACAGCAAAACCCAGTGAACAAAATATGTAACAAATGAGCCCGGCCGCCCGCCGACACAAGCTCCACCTTATGCGGAAGGTAAATCTGCAGTGACAAGTATAAGAACGAATCACCGAGAACCAGATATAAGAGCAGGTGCTCGCAAAAAGGGTAACACGTTCTGACCCACCAGCAGCACCGTCACCAATGTGATACAAACAGGACAAAATCTGAGCGTAATAAATTCATAGGAATCATAAAAAAAAAAGTTTCTGAAGAAATAGCTCAAATAGTGAAATAATCTTTGAATACAATTTAGATCTTTAACAAATGATTTATATACATCACTTAATGTCCGTTTTGAATGCATTTGTTTCTGACAGAAAACGCTTTTTTTCCTACAGTGTTATCTTTTCTTTTCTTTTCAAACAATACAAATTCAACTGCATAACGCCATGCGTCCCAATATTGATTTCCTTGGTTCACATGAGCATGGTGAGGGCGTCGATGTACAACAGTTTCTATCCAATCGAAAACGTTAAACTCGTCACACCTCGTGATGTCACGAGATGTCGCGAGATAGAGCCATCTTGTTTGTCTTCCGGAGTAACACACCTTGGTTTGTTTACTCGTTGTCTACTCGAGTAGGTTTCACGTGAAACAAAGACAGGGTGGCTTGACCTTTACCTGTGGATTTTGAGGACACATGGTTCTTATTTCTTCAAGGTAAGCACACTACTGTCAAAACGCGCTTTTAAACCTACAGCTGGTCGCTGTGTATCCAAGTAGGTTTATTGTGAAGGAGACATTTAACTTCCTTGTTAACCAATACCAATAAAATAAGTAAAGACGTATACTCAAGTATAACATAATCGTGACAATACCTTGATAATGTATCATATCCCCCTATCCACATACTGATGGCATTTGTCTTACTATGGACATGGTGGGAATATTTAGGGCAGAACTTATGACAAGAAGATAACAAAAAACGAAATATAAGAACGGTCAGGAATCGCCACAGTCCACCATTTAGATGGGTCAGGGTCAGGCACAGTCTACTCCCCAGAAGGCTCAATCACAGCTACCAACCACAGCTAACGTCACTCAAGTAAACGATGGGGTCCAAGAAGTCAGAAATAGAAATAGACTCAGAGAGTGAAATAAAACTGCAGACAATGAAATCAAGTTCGAAAGCCTTTCTGAGGCAATAAGAGCCTATCAACGTGAAACGAAGTGGAAAAATGGGATGATTACACCATTTACTTTATTTCGTATACACATTGGGGTAGAGTAACCGCTTCCTTAATTTCACGATACATTAGGAAAACTTATTCTTAGTTTCACTACACATGTGGGTTGAGGAAACTTATACTTTTATGCACTACACATGGTCGTTGAGCAAACTTGTACTTTAATAATCAGACATATGGATTGAGCAAACTTATACTTTAATACATCACACATGGAAGTTGAGCAAAGGTTTAGTTTAATACACTACACATGGGGATTGAGCAAACGTATACTTTAATGCATCACACATAGGGATTGAGCAAACTTCTACTTTAATGCACTAATTATGGAAGTTGAGCAAACGTCTGCTTTAATCCACTACACATGGGGATTGAGCAAACTTCTACTTTAATACTTCACACATGGGGATTGAGCAAACTTATACTTTAATACATCACACACAGGGATTGAGCAAACTTATACTTTAATACATCAAACATAGGGATTGAGCAAACTTATACTTTAATACATCACACATAGGGATTGAGGAAACTTATACTTTAATACATCACACATGGGGATTGAGCAAACTTACACTTTAATACATCACACATGGGGATTGAGCAAACATATACTTTTATACATCACACATGGGATTGAGCAAACTTATACTTTTATACATCACACATGGGATTGAGCAAACTTATACTTTAATACATCACACATGGGATTGACCAAACTATACTTTAATACATCACACATGGGGATTGAGCAAACTTATACTTTAATACATCACACATGGGATTGAGCAAACTTCTACTTTAATACTTCACACATAGGGATTGAGCAAACTTCTGCTTTAATGCATCACACATGGGGATTGAGCAAACATATACTTTAATGCATCACACATTGGGATTGAGCAAACTTCTACTTTAATACTTC